ACCCTGTCAGCTTGCATGTTTGCCAATTATGTTTCATAGGCCTCTAAATAGAAAACACAGAGTACAAAGTATTGGCCAGCAGAGAGCACTATGGAGCCATACATTCTATCACACTTTCAATGGCTCTATTAAAAGGCTTTGAACAGGCTGCTTGCTGGCTCTCTATGTCTGCAGACTTAAGGACATACTGCGTCAGCTCCGTCTCCTGTGCTGTTCAACCAGGCGATGTGGATGACACCCCCAGCATGACATCTGCCACAATCACATCACATCCATGTGAAGCATGCTGGGTGTGGATCTATTGATCCTATTGAACAGATTCAATGTCTGACACTTGTATATGCCCTGAGATACACTATATGACCAAAAGTATGTGGACACCTGCTCGTTGAACATCTCATTCCAAAATCATGGGCATTAATGTGGAGTTGGTCCTCCCTTTGCTGTTATAACAGCCTCCACTCTTCTGGGAAGGCGTCCACTAGATGTTGGAACATTGCTGCAGGGACTTGCTTCCATTCAGCCACAAGAGCATTAGTGAGGTCGGCACTGATGTTGGGCGATTAGACCTGGCTTGCAGTCGGCGTTCCAATTCATCCAAAAGGTGTTCGACGGGGTTGAAGTCAGGGCTCTGTGCAGGCCAGTCAAGTTCTTCAACACCGATCTCGACAGACCATTTTTGTATGGACCTCGCTTTGTGCATGGGGCATTGTCATGCTGAAACAGGAAAGGGCCTTCCCCAAACTGTTGCCAAAAAGTTGGAAGCACAGAATCGTCTAGAATGTCATTGTATGCTGTAGCATTAAGATTCCCCTTCACTGGAACTAAGGGTCCTAGCCCGAACCTTGAAAAACAGCCCCAGACCATTATTCCTCCTCCACCAAACTTTACAGTTGGCACTATGCATTGGGGTAGGTAGCGTTCTCCTGGCATCTGCCAAACCCAGATTCGTCCGTCGGACTGCCAGATGGTGAAGCATAATTCAGCACTCCAAAGAACGTGTTTCCACTGCTCCAGAGTCCAATGACGGTGAGCTTCAAACCACTCCAGCTGGCGCTTGGCATTGCTCATGGTGATCTTAGGCTTGTGTGCGGCTGCTCAGCCATGACAACCCATTTATTGAAGCTTGCGACAAACAGTTTTTGTGCTGACATTGCTTCTATAGGCAGTTTGTAACTCGGTAGTCAGTGTTGCAACCTAGGACAGAAGATTTTTTTGCGCTTCAGCACTCGGCGGTCCCGTTCTGTGAGCTTGTGTGGCCCACCACTTCGCGGCTGAGCCGTTGTTGCTCCTAGACGTTTACACTTCACAATAACAGCACTTACAGTTGACCGGGGCAGCTCTAGCAGGGCAGAAATTTGACGAACTGACTTGTTGGAAGGGTGGCATCCTATGATGGTGCCACTTTGAAAGTCACTGAGCTCTTCAGTAAGGCCATTCTACTGCCAATGTTTGTCTATGGAGATTGCATGGCTGTGTGTTCGATTGTATACACTTGTCAGCAACGGGTGTGTAATTTATGTCTTGAAATCCAGAAAAATATGTTTTACAAGACGAAGCAGCATTACCAACATCATTGTCATGCCTGCCCCCGCTCCCCCTCCATGGCGCTCGAGGGCGCCAGGCTGCCCATCATTACGCACACCTGTCACCATCGTTACGCGCTTCAGCGCTTCATTGGACTCACCTGGACTCCTTCACTTTGTTGATTGACCCTTCTATATCTGTCTGTTGCCCAGTTTGATCCCTGTGTCTGCATTGATGTTGTTTCGTTTCCCCTGTCCAGACGCTGTCCGTGTTTTGTTCCATGTCTTTTATTTATTAAATCATCACCCTGTACTTGCTTTCCGTCTCCCAGCGTCTGTCAAACCGAGATCGTTACAGAATGCAGACACCACAATTGGAAGTATCAGGGAGTTTTTTGTTTTTTTGTTGGTGACGTCGGGTCCTGGTGCCGCTGCCGAAGCAACCGGGGATGCCTCAGCTGGCTCGTCAGGCTCCCATGCCTTGTTTGGCTCGGCAGGCTCTCACCCCACGCCTCAGCCGGCACGTCAGGCTCCCACGCCTCGGCCGGCTCATCAGGTTCCCATGCCTCGGTCGGCCCGTCAGGCTTGACAGGTTCCCGCGCCTCGGCCGGATCGTCAGGCTTCCACGCCTCAGCCGGCTCATCACGCTTCCACGCCTCAGCCGGCTCATCACGCTTCCACGCCTCAGCCGGCTCATCAGGCTCCCACGCCCCGGCCGGCCCGTCAGGTTAAACAGGTTCCCGTTCCTCGGCCGGCTCGTCCAGCTCCCATGCCTCGGCCATCCCGTCAGCCCGGGTGGCGTCTCTAGGGCGGGGGGTACTGTCACGCCTGCTCCCGCTCCCGCTCCCCCTCCCTGGCGCTCGAGGGCGCCAGGCTGCCCATCATTTCGCACACCTGTCACCATCATTACGCGCATCAGCGCTTCCTTGGACTCACCTGGACTCCTTCACTTTGTTGATTGCCCCTTCTATATCTGTTTGATCCCTGTGTCTGCATTGATGTTGTTTCGATTCCCCTGTCCAGATGCTGTCCGTGTTTTGTTCCATGTCTTTTATTTATTAAATCATCACCCGTACTTGCTTCCCGTCTCCCAGCGTCTGTCGAACCGAGATCGTTACAATCATTATGATTAACGCAGTGTTATCAATGGACTCAAATCAACACGGGTGCCTCAGATATTTTTTGTTAATATAATTTGCTAATTTTACTCTCAATTAAAGTGTGGGGAAGAGCTCCTCCTTTAGGAAAGTTCTCACACAGGTCAAAATGAGCTATTTCATTTGGCCTGTCAGCTGTAGAATGTCATAAGTTATGGGCCTGTGTCACGAGAATTTTGTTATCTCAATGGTTGAAGTCAACTACTTCTCAAATCTTTGAATAATTCCCAGAGGTTGTAAATCTGTAGTTAAATGATGAATTAAACAAAGATCTCACGTTTCAGCAAGCCCCAATGGTTAACACCCACAGACAAAAAACATGGACATTCTTCCATGTTTTACTAGTAGACAAAATAAAACACACTCTCAAACAGCATTCTGCATTTACCTCTACTATAGGGTTTAAAAACTAACGTAACAACGTAACCATCCTAAATTGCTGTAGTAATATCATGTTTGGTTCAGTTTATCACCAATCCTCCATTATTAGAATACATCAGATGTAGGTAAATATCATTTCTAAGTAGGCTAGAAGTAACACCAAACACTTGCTGTATTTTACCATCTTATATTGAATGAATATCCATATTATCAATATCCAATTTATTTATAGACATTACGCCACCATTCTCAATCGTTTAATCTAGCAAACCCTTAGGCAATGAAATAAAAAAAATGACTACCACGCAAATGTTTCAAACCTTCCCTTCTACATCACCAAACCAACTCTTTAACTTCCTTTTTCTGTCTCTCACCCTCTTCTCTCTTTCGAGCCTCAGAGAGCCACACCCTGGCCGTATCTAGCCCTTCCACTCGCTTTCTCTCTGCTCTGCCTTTACACACATTGTGCATCTGTTTTACAATGGATTCGAGTTGGTCTGTGTCCAGACGCCCCTCGAATCCATACCTCTCCCTCCACCGATTTCCATAATGGAGATTTCTTCTATCTCTTGACCTCATATACCTTTCATCCCCGGTTAACTCCGGGACCTCCTTTGAGGATTTACTTCCCATGGTAACAAAACTCTTGGGTCGTCCTATACACAAAACCCTGAACAATTATTTTATGCCTTTTTAACAAATTACTGAGTCTCACACTTATAGAATTTTACATTATTTCAACTCTCTAATAATTATTATATCACTTTAACTAATTTATTAGGTATTAAATGATTTTACAATGTTTTTAATAATTTATTCGGTCTTTAATTAGTTGACAACTCTGTTTCTTTCTTAAAATACTCAATTGTAGTAACCTTCTTTCTCACGCGACCTATTTCAGTCCCTTCCTTTGATATTTATTGTTGGTCCCGGACCGTCTCACTATCACAATTTCCTTCTCTGAAGTTTCACCCCCGTTTTATATTTATCTAGAATACTGGCGCATTGGGTTTTCTCTAGATAAACGTCTAAAAACAGGCTACCGCGATGTCGATCCCGTTTTGGATTATTGACGGAACATCACTACAGCAAATTTAAACTATTAATTTTTACTGCAGGTTACAGATTCAATTCCCCCAAAACCCATGAATAAAGATTACTGACCTTACTCTTGCAGGGTGGGATTTTCAATTATAGGTTGGATCTCGTCACCATTCCTGTCGTGAACCAGGTCACCACCGGCCTGAATTAAACCTCAATCCCAGAGGTCAGGTCTTTGTCTTACGGATCCTGGATCTGCCCGCGCACGGTTTCGGGGTTCCCTGGGACGACAACAGCGGGTGTTGAGATCCGGCTCGAAGGACCAATTGTCACGAGAATTTTGTTATCTCAATGGTTGAAGTCAACTACTTCTCAAATCTTTGAATAATTCCCAGAGGTTGTAAATCACTAGTTAAATAATGAATTAAACAAAGATATCCAGTCAGCAAGAATCATCAGCATGTTTATTAATGAGAGCTCTGCCCCAAAATGGGCGCACAGTCTTTTTATACACATGTCAGAGGAAAAATCCCACCCTGCTTTAGGCAGGCTGTATTTTTCCACTGTACACATCTTGTAAGCTCACACCTGGGTTTAGCTCATGTGCTTATCTTCTGTTTTCTTGATTATCAGGTCACACATACACAGTCTTCCTTTACTAGTTTCACAACTGCACTCTGCTTACATAGATACAAAAATAAGACAACTGCCTCCTTGTACTTCTAACTAAGCTACACACATTATCAGATTATAGTGTTATGATTCTAACACATTTCACAATTTGGTAATAATTAGTCATTACCAAATTCTTCTATCAGCCCGTGAAAGCCAATTTCGGGAATTCCACAGTGAGGGAGTATGCACAGATGCAGTCACCCGTCCACTATGTCCCACTGGGGTGCCAGCGACTGGGCTGCTGGGGGCGAGAGGAGTAGGATTGGTCTACGGTGGTCAACCCCCAGAGTGACCCCCCCCCTCCCATTTCTTCCTCTGTCCCAGCCCAGTGAGGGTGCACGCTACTGAGATAAACACACCATGACCACGGGGCGTACGCCAGCCGAGACCAGGCTAGACCTGGAGGACATAGAGGTGCAGGAGGAGACTCCACTGTGGGTCCCACCCCTGGGTATCGCTCCAGACAGACACACTGCAGAGGGACTACTGGAGGAAGTAGTGGAGGTAGAGGCAGAGGAACCAGCCCAGGAGGAGGACTCTGTCTCACTCTCCATCTCCACCCACAGTGACACCAGGCCTCTGGTGAAGGACAGGGACCCAAGGGGAGTCAACAAGTGTCTAAAGGTAACTGACACACACGGCTGCACAGCCCGGTAAACAGCTAGTTAAAGTGGAGGTATATACAGACAGAGAGCACTCTGTGGGAGATTAAAGCACTGTGTGTGTTTGCAAATACTCCACATACCACACATCCCCTGTCTGTTGACTTCCAGATAAGGGAAGGGGAGGTTTAAACACAGGGATGAAATAAGAGAGACAGTATGGATATAATCACGTATTGATGTTCTGAGATACTCTGGAAATGTTATGGTTGAGATAGGAACTAAATGGGATTTGAGTCACCTACATAGAGTTCTGTGTACACCATGAGCCGTTAATGGTAAACTTGTTATGTAATGTCTATACAATGTTCAGTGGTATGGATTAACTGGCTAGGATTTTATTGAAATGAGCACTCATTTATCTCAAACCCCATAGCTTTAAAGGTACACTGGACATACACATCTGCAGGCAATAGAGAGGGAGATCTGGCATCCAACAAAGTGGAATCTGATGTTGAAAACCGGTGTGTTGAGCGATGCTGACCTCATGTGGACACAGTTAGAACTGTACCTTGTTTTTCATGTCGCACTGTGACCATATTATAAATAATGATTCAGTCCCATTGTACTATGGTTACTGCAGTGAGTGTGATTCAGTTTGTCTATGGCTTCTCTGCATCACATAAAAAGTTCTCAATGTTATTGGGAAAAAATGTAGTATTTGAGAACCTCCCAACCTCCTTATTCTGATCATCTTTATACATAGACCTTCACTAAAGCCCCATGCTAAACAGAATTCCCACCAGGCCATGCCCTGACTGTACTCTGTGTCTCCTGAGGTGACGTTTGAGGACGTGATAGCGGAGCCCCCCTCGGTGCGGAGCTTTGATAAGGTGTGGCTGTGGAGCCACGCCCTGTTTGAGGTATCCCGTCTCTGGTGCTACCGGCTCATCTCCCTCCTCCTGGCCGTGCCCGTCTCTCTGGTGGCAGGGATACTCTTTGCTGTCCTCAGCTGCCTACACATCTGGTGGGTCCTCTCACCTTTGACCTCCTCTGATGTGGTCCATTAAATGTCTTCAGTTGGTGCTTGATGTTTCAATGCATTGTGTATAGTATAAACTTGCTTTAGGAGATATTGCACTGCCCTGTTTATGCTCAATCTGTCTGTCTGTCTGTCCCCAGGCTGATCATGCCCTGTATGCAACTCTTCCTGATCAACATGCACTGGGTTCAGACCGTGTGGAGCAGTGTGTTAAACATCGCCATCGCTCCCTTCTTTAAGAGTATTGGGAAGTGCTGCGGTAGCATCAACGTCCGACTGGCCAGGGACTGATGTTGGGCTCTGCCACCTTCTATGGGAGTGGGGAGGGAGGGAGGGTGGAGGGAGGGAGGGAGGGAGGGGGAGGGAGGGAGGGTGGAGGGAGGGGGAGGGAGGGAGGGAGGCAGGGAGGGAGGGAGGGTGGAGGGAGGGAGGGAGGGAGGGAGGGAGGGAGGGAGGGAGGGAGGGAGGGAGGGAGGGAGGGAGGGAGGGTGGAGGGAGGGAGGGAGGGAGGGAGGGAGGCAGGGAGGGAGGGTGGAGGGAGTGTGGTGGGAGGGAGGGTGGAGGGAGTGTGGAGAAGGGTGGTAGAGGTTGGGTGGAGGGTGGAGGGAGTGGGCTGGGCTGGGCTGAAGCACAACAGGCACTGGTTGTTTGCAGTCATGTCTTATTCTCAAATAAAAACTACTTTGCAGCCTTTACTATGCAAAGGACACTTTTAAAAAAGCAGAACTTGACATATTTATTTTGTCAATATGTTAAATTATATTACATGAATTACACAGTATCTAAAAATGATATAATTTATGTGTTTTTATTTTAATACAAAATGATCATTTATAACTATTATTGGTTCATTGGAGTCAATTTCATCTCTAAACCACATCTTGAAAGAAATGTGTTTTCAATTAAGATAATGCAGCACACACACACGCACACGCACAACACACGCACACGCATGCACACACACACAAATTCCATATGCTGGTGTAAATGAAAAGTTCCTCCTGACAGCACAGATTATGTGGCCAGTGGTGAATGTATACCCCCAGTTAGATAGGGGTGTGGAATTACATTTCCTCCACTGACTGGCCAATTCTCTTTCTTAGGCAAATAATGGATCAGGGCTTCAAAGCAAAGCTCTTTCTCTGTTCCAGAGTAATGTTGTCAAAAAGATCAGGGAAGCATTACTGTAATTACTGGTTGTGTCATCTATCTGTACAGGTAGATTCAAAGCGCAGTTGAAATCATTTGAAATCAATCTGGCCATTTTTAGTAGAACAGAAGTAAGAGCATGGTTGCAGGTTCTAAAATATGCTCAAAATGAGCTACCGATTTGTCTCCGGAGCATAAATAGGCTTAGGCAATTATACCTACAAACTGCCCCAGCAATTCAAATTATGTAAACTTCAAAAGCACTGCACAGCTGTTGTGAGATGCTAATGCACTCAACTGTACTAATCATTGGGATTTCTGTCCCTTAGCATACATACACTACCATTCTCTGGAGCATGGAGCTGCGCAAAGATACAGTAGCAGAAAGGGCCAAACTTATTTATTTAACTAGGCAAGTCAGTTAAGAACAAATTCTTATTTACAATGACGGCCTACACTTGCCAAACCCGGACTGCTGGGCCAATTGTGCGCCGCCCTATGGGACTCCCAATCACGGCCAGTTGTGATACAGCCTGGAATCGAACCAGGGGGTCTGTAGTGACGCCTCAAGCACTGAGATGCAGTGCCTTAGACCGCTGCGCCAATCGGGAGCCCATGAAACAACTATTATGAAGCAACTATTTTTGTGATACAGTTCATTTTCAAGGGAAATTGCAGTGACCCTTGCCTATACCACAGGGATACGTTCTTCAACTTCTCTGGGATTGTAAGAAACCCTTTTAAGTTGTCGGATGGACAGTACTGTTCAGTAAAGAAGTCAACATCAATGTCAAAACATCTGGGAATTTTAGACGATCAATTGTACTGCTTTGCTACCATGAGGTCTGTCTGTGGGGGTGCCATCTGTCTGTCTGTCTGTCTGTCTGTCTGTCTGTCTGTCTGTCTGTCTGTCTGTCTGTCTGTCTGTCTGTCTGTCTGTCTGTCTGTCTGTCTGTCTGTCTGTCTGTCTGTCTGTCTGTCTGTCTGTCTGTCTGTCTGTCTGTCTGTCTGTCTCTGTCTGTCAGTCAGGACCCACTGCAGAGTCAGTTTACAGGCATGCCCTCCGTGACAATCAGGGATCTATTTCTGTCCCTCCTCCTTCTCCGTGCCCCAACCCCTAGCCCCCCAGCCCCCCCGACACCTAGCCCCCCAGCCCCCCGACCCACAGCCCCCCATCCCCCAGGCCCCCAGACCCTCAGCCCCACAGACCCCAGCCCCACAGCCCCCCAGACCCCAGCTCCACTCCTCCTCTCACACCACGCTGAGAATACACTCCTCTAACACGCACTCTGAGCCCATTCCACCACTCCCCCTTCCTCTCTCCCACCCCCTGTCTCCATCTCGCCAACTCTCTGTCTCTCTGCCCAAAGGGAACTGGTGCAGGGAACATTAACAAGCAACTGCTCTTCCCTAAAGACACACTTCACTTGACTCAATTAAGTATTTTTTGCACACTACTGGACAGCAGTCTGTTGATGTAGATCAATAGCAACAGGTTTACGATAGTGATAGCTGCTATTACTGTTGCTTGCTTAGCTTACACTTCTTTTTCCTCCTCCTCTTCCTCCCTCTTTTCCATATCATCATAATGTATCTATGGTCTTGTTTATGCAACAAGCAAATATAGGATGTAATGACTGATCGTGACAACTGCAAGGAATCTTAAATCAGATGATACATTTATTTTGAAAGAGTATTGCATTTTATAGGGGGATGTAAGCAGTTGGACAGAGCTGACACTGTGAATCATGAAAGATCCCAGTTGAAATTCTTTCTTGTGCAATGATGTCATCATCTCGACATAATGTGCATGTGAGAGGAACCACAATTGTTTCTGTTCTATTATGGGACTTATCGGTAGTGGTAGATATAGGCTTATTGTTCATATCTGCTTACTCATGGTAGTAAAATAAATACTTTTCAGTTTTTCATCTTTAACTAGTTAATCAAAACGTTTGTATTTATTTCTACATATTATATCCTTCACCTTGAAATAAGTAGATCAGTGGAGGGAAAACATGGTGACATTGGCTAGGTTTTATAGTAGATCAGTGAAGAAATGGTAGTCATGCATCTAAATTCCATATAGGTAACAATGTGAAAATTGTGCAGTGGGTGAACTGTACATTTCCAATAGTCACAGCGTGCATGTTAACATCACAGGGTTGCTTCACTTCAGAACCTTATCTGGACCTGATCACAGATCAGTTAAGTTCGGGACAGCATTACTGTATCTTTATTTTTCTTTATCATCTTTGAAAGTTATTCAATGTATCTTCCCACTTTTGTTTAAGGCAGTTAAAACTAAGGTTGTAACTTTGAAGAACTGACTATATACTAATATTTGCAGTGAAGAGAGTAACCAGCATGTTTTCGGGGACACTAGTGGTCATATCTTTTCTCTAGGCTACTGTTTATTCTGTGTAATATTAGATAAATATCATTGCAAGTCTGGTAAGGTGCTACAGTACAAATGCAGGTAATTAAGCGAAGCAATGGGAGGAAGAATGCAAGAACACAAAGCTGATGGGACAGGTGGTGGGCCTTCATCTTTCATGGGATGACACTTTCACTCTAGTAGGGCTGGGATTCATTCAAACCCACCATAGCAATGTTTACACAGTGTCTTTATTTACAATATTCATCCTGTGCCCAACACTTCAAATTCTGAAAAGTGAAAGCGTACCTGTGAGGGGGGACGCCCTGGTAGCAGGTGTAGATTTTTATACAGTACCCAAAACCAATCTGTGAGTTAATTTGACCATGGGAAAAATAGCTATTGCGTAAATAATGCAATGCGGGATTGAATTGAGCCCTAAATCAGCATTTGTTTGCAACCTAAGCAGTCACAACTCGTAATGGTAGCTGTGCACCTTGACTTAAGAAGTACTGTTGTTCTTGTAACACCTAATTCGGCTAAGACATCAGATTAACATCCAATTTTAGTTACTATTTGATTCTGTAACCGTTGCCAATCATTGAATGATTTTCATTGATTTGATCTTCGTGGTTCCGTTAAGTTTATGGACCCAGTTTTCCCATCTCAAGGCCATCATACCCACTTTATAATACCCACTTTATAATACTCACTTTATAATACCACTAAAACTCATGATGTCCATAAGAAGTAGAGATTATTTGTGCAGGCTTATAATACAGTATAGATACAAAATGTTTTTTTAAGGATGATAAAGATAATTAATTAATAAGAATAAGAATAAAGGCTAATACGAAGTCAATGACATGCTCTTGCTTTCTTCATACAGAATGCATGCCATCAAATAGGTGGATCCCTAGCTTCTATCACCTACAATGATGAGTTTGAGTATGCTCTTTCCCTGGTAGAAGATGGATCTGCCTAGGTTGATGGGAGCCATGGGGTAAAACACCCTGTTTCTTGTCCCCAAGTTACTAATATTGATTTTGGTTTGTCAAGGAAATCAGCTGCTACTAACTAGGGTTACACATTTCTGCGAAAATTCAATAAATTCCCTGGTTTTCCAGAAATGTTCTATGGTCACTCTTGTTCTGTTCTGTCTTGCCCTGAGACTCACAAGGACATTCTCCTCTACAGATAAAACAGGCTTTGATGACATCAGCTGTTCCAGTAAAGGCAACACCACCAACACTCTCCTTGCGAGATAGATACTTCCTACTTCATAGTGTAGAGGAGTCCAAACAGAGAGGGCAAAGGGATTTTGGCAATACTCTGATTTTCTTTTGCACACAAACTGTTTTGAGTTGACTTTAAGTCGAATACTTAGTGACAATATCATGAAGGGAGATTGCTACAGATACTGTACATACATAATGATACATTGATTCAACTGTATTGAATTGTATTTTATTGAATTGTATTTTTTGTGTCTGGTTTTGCAATGGAATTGTCTTTATAGTGTTGTGGAAGCTGTCTTTAAGATACAGTACCAACCATTTAGGTACATTAAAACATTACAATTAAAACAATAATAATAATAATAATAAAAGCAGGTTTGATTCCCTTACAATCCCATTTCAAAACTAACTGTATATTTGCGAACATACACATCTATTTTCAATACTTAATCTAAAAGAGGAAATAGCCTATATCCATTATATCTGGAATATCTAGATGGAATTGTCGTGTCCTGTACATCCCTCATTGCTTCCTTGCCTATCTTTTTTAATATAAACTTTCAGCATCACCCTGTCTCAGCATGATCAACTTATACCACTGTGAAATAAACCAAATCAATCAATAGGGTCACCTCAATTAGCAACACTTTAGTAGTATCTATTCATATTTGATTGATGATTATTTGTGAACATTATTATTAAGTGTTACAGTAATTAGTCTTGCCAAGATGCATTGGCACTGACTCACTACAATTTGATGCCGCAGGTCAATTAAATACTTTATAGTGGACGTATCGAGACAGTAACACACTACACAATATTCTACCACCAGTGAGGGTTGACTCATAAATAAAAATGTCATTTTTTCAATTCTAATTGCTCACTGTACAGCCCATACAATTTGTTAATAGACATAAAGGAAGTTTTATTATTTCACTGACAGCACGTTAACTGTAACATTTGCAGTGTCAGCGATAGTTTATCAACATAAAACTGGACAATTCTTAATAAACTAATTTTTTATCACAGTGGGTGACAGCTTAATGATGACTGAAAATGAGCACCTCAAGAGGACATATGCCTACAGGGCTAGCTGAAACTGCTTTGACATTGTATAATGATGGTCAGTTCACGGCTGAAATGCACATCATCCATTGCTTATTAGAAGTAATTCCATTACAAAAAATGCATATGTAAAGTGCATGTTTCTAATTGTTAATGTAGGTATGCATCAACACCTGCTGAACTACAGTATGCTTTCTTGTACTTTCATCAATACATGTATGAGTAGATTTGGACGAGTTTTACTTCAATGACTGGTGAGGATACAAAGCGAAGATCGCGTTCCCTTTTTATGAATGAAGGGAAGAGCTGAAGACACCGAGCTGGGATTACAACATGAACCCTTTGCTAGTGACCAGAGGGCTGAGGACTGTTACACAGTCAAACAACATTCAAGGACTTTTGGCCTCTATTCCTTTCCATTACTTGCATCAAATAGTGGTGAATAAAAACAAAAACAAATCATTCAACAACAAAACATGGGTGAATGATGAATGAGCTGTTAAATCCAATATATACACTTTCTCATTCTTTACTTTAACCCTTTATCAATTAAGTCTCTTGTTTTGAAAATGTTCTATGCGTTCACATATACTTTGCTGACTAAGCATAATACAGTGGATTGCTGTTTGTGACAAAGTCCTACATTCTTCCTTTCTGGAAGTTGTTGGTCAGTGTGGATGGTACTGTAATGAACTATTGGTGTTAGTGGGAGCAGGAGAAGGAGAGTCCTCACTGCATCACCTTAGAGTGGAAATTCATGCCACCATGTAAGCCCTGCCCGGCTGACCCCACAGCCCAGTGTGAAATTTGACACGGCTCTGGGGTCCCCTTTAAGACATGCTTTTGCTGTGTGTGTCTAGGTGTGTGTGTTTAGGTGTGTGGGTGTGTAAGTGTGTGTGCATGTGTAGGTGTGTGTGTGTGTGTATGTGTAGGTGTGTGTGTGAGTTTGGGTGTGTGGGTGCGTACATGCGTGGATGTGTGTGTTTGTGTGTGTGCGCATGTGGGGGCAGCAGCTGTCCACTGGCATTTCAGCCGTGTCGTCATAGTAGTAACAGGGGGGATCAGTGTGACTGAGGGGGCTGCCTGCAGTCTCCTTCAGTGGGTTCACTCTCACTGTCCTCTGCCCAGCCCTCCACGCCCCACTACTCTCCCTGCCTCTGCCCCAGCCCGGGCCCACGGCTCCACCATGGCCGACCAGTACCAGTACAACACCAACGAGGAGAAGATTGTGAAGGACAGCCACACCAAGGAGATCGACCTGATCAACAGAGACCCTAAATTTATCAATGAGGATGTGATCAAGGTAGGTAAACCATGACGACGCCACCCACTCACACACACACTGGATCTACAGGATGAACTCCTTTTTGCCTCAAGGAAAGACAAGTTTTAAACTTTAGTTTAAAATTAAGTCTAAAGTCTAAACTTAAAGCCAACACATTACACTATAGTATGTTGCTGTGTTGCTACCATGAAGGTCCCAAAATAGTCCCAGGCCTATTCCTTGTGCCCCAGAACGGCACGCAGTGTTTATTTCTGGAGTGGGGCTAAAGGGGTGTGACAGACAGGGATATTATGAGGCGGTTTCTTTTCAGAGCTTTATCACTGTTTTTCCTGTGTTTGTCGCCATGTTTACATACAGTAGTATCTATCATGCTCTATATTTCCCCAGAGCTCAGGAGAGCATGGAAGGAGATAGTCTACTGCTGGGCTAAACAGGGCGTATGGAAAAACCTTCAGTGACTTGAGTGAGTCATCTGTTAAGTATAGCTCGTACAGTGGGGTCCGAAATTATTGACACCCTTGATAAAGATGAGCAATAATGGCTGTATAAAAGAAAACATTTAAATACTGAGCTTTATTGTATGCAAAAAAAATTAATAAAAAAGGGAAATTATATTATTTTATACTAATACAATTGCTCAGAGAAAGTAATATTTAGTTTTTCTCAAAAAAGTAGTGATTATTGACACCCCTAAAGATTCGTATAAATAATTTAATCAAAAGTTTAGTATTTGGTCTCATATTCCTAGCATGCAATGACTACATCAAGCTTGTGACTCGTTGGATGCATTTGCAGTTCGTCTTGGTTATGTTTCAGATTATTTTGTGCTCAATAGAAATGAATGGTAAATAATGTATTGTGTCATTTTGGAGTCACATTTATTCAAAATAAGAATTTCTAAACACTTCTACATTAATGTGGATGCTACTATGATTACGGATAATCCTGAATGAATCGTGAATAATGATGAGTGAGAAAGTTACAGAGGGTAAAAGATCGTACCCCCAAGACATGCTAACCTTCCCTGTTATTGATAATGGTTAGCATGTGTCGTGACGAGACTTTCAATATTGTGATGACTATAATTTATCGAATAATTACCTACTATGTTTAATTGTTACTAGATTAAATTAATCATGTAACAATTAAATAATTAGCAATTTGGGGCACCACGGGAAAAGTTGTTTAACGAGTTAGCGTTTCCCGAATTAACTCTAAAGATATCTAGATATCTCTTATCATTTAACAGTAAATTATTAATCATTTACCTCATATCAGTCTAATTCTGAAAGTCGTAGACTCTTTAAGTCTTCACGAACCCGGGTCTTACTGATCATTCCATACCACACAAATTGATTTAATTATTTATTTACTAACTAATTAAAATGATAACACAAGATACAAACACATTAGAAGTTAATACAATGAAAACGGGTCCCTAGCGGACTAACACAATATAACACTTGTTACAACAGATGGCAAGTTGAAGACAGAGCGAGAGAGAGAGAAAACACTTGGATACACATGGAACTACGCTCACAGTAATCCTAATACCTTTCCCCAAACTGCCGCCTGTTTGGTAAGAAGTAATGCATGTATTTACGTGTTGGTGGTCTTCGTCGTGTATCTCTGTTGGACCCAGGCCTTCGTGGATAGGGTTCAATTGGGCCTTCTCTTTCGGATGGGCCTTAGATGGCTTTGATTGTCCACAAGAGGTCACAATGTCCTTCTTCTTAGTTGTCTGTTTACTTTCACTCGTTTTGGATGTGGTCTTCTGAGGATGGCTAATCAGCCATGTCGATGATCCCCTGTGGGGTGATGAGAGCAGTGTAGTAGACGATGGTTGGAAGAGAGTAACATGATGGTCCCACTTAAATTCACCTTCTTAGATACAGTATACTTAGAACAGCTACTCAGCCGTAACATTGATTGTTAGTGGAGGCAACTTTGTCATCTTCACCTCGTGTTGATTTTCAGGGTCGGGACCAATATGGACCTCGCTGCAGCTTGAGGTCCGTCTAGTCTCCTGGTTAATTCTTAACTCAATCTTTTATGCACTGGTAAAGAGGGCGTTTATGTCATGCGGCCACTCTTTCTGAGCTCCCGTGGGCGTGGCTAGTTACTGGGGCAAAGTATTCTGAACAGTATGATTTCGTTAAAGAACCAAAATCATCTTTCTATCTTTATAAAAATATTATATTTTTCCTGGATCTTTCCTACACATTGTAATGGATGCAAACTTTAAATGCACAGTATGAAAGCTCCTCAAGTTACAATGTTTTCGTTATAACGTTTTTATAAAAGTTTTAATGACATCACAAAATATACATTAATTTTCCAAATTCCCTCTCTCATCACTCCCAATATTCGGATGTTGAAATATATTGTTCCAGTGTCCACCTTTGGTTGTTTAAAGTTTTGGGCGGCAATCTGTCCCTGTAACACAGACACATTCAGATCGCCAATACTATGGAACAACAAGGAGTTAGTTGCTCCAAACCATTTGGTGCGAGGGGTCATAACTGCCCTCCCCCCCAACAATCTCTCCTTTGTTCTGCAGGAGAGAGAGAGAGATCTGTAGACTGTTGCTTCTCTGTATTCCGATCTTGGGCTTCTCACGTGAAACCATCACATGAGAGTCATGACAGTCCCCCTCTGGTGGGTTCCAACCTTGGACGTATTCTGCAAGTTATAATCCACCAAGATGTCCGGTGTGTGGCTCCTTGTAGCACCCCCCCCCCCCCCCCCCCCCCCCTTCTGGTGATTTATCCTGGTAGGATTTCTGCAAGCTGCAGGCCACCACCAGAATGGACAGGGGAGGTCCGGATTGTGGCTGGCCGTTCCTGACCCGTCGTCCGGTAGTCCAGGCTAGTGGATCTAGGCAGTGACTTAGACAGACGTTAATAACGCACACCACTCACTAAATACATCATTACATTTCTTCCCCAAATGAGCAGCGCTGTGGCACTAACTGGTGGTTGTATGGGGAACTTGTTTGTGGCTCTATCACGTCCTGTCAAAGGAAATGCAACAAAAATCAACAAAAACACAAACAAAAGATATACAAAATATAGTGACCACACCTTAATCATCTAATTGGACTATGTTCTATATACGTCCCATGTCTTGGCTAAATCACTCTATCATGGCATTGTCTCTAATGTCATATCTAGGGCGATTCTAATTGAAGGTGGGTAGTTAAGGCACTCTCTAAAATGGCACCCTGAAGGAAAAGCTTGCAGTGGGGACACTACAGGGCTGACCTAGCGGACTCTGGAGAAGAGGCTGTGGATGGACCACCTGATGGCGTTTCAGGATCTATTGCCAACTTTCCAAAAATCGGGATTGCTTCCGTCCCACCGGTGATCCTGACATAAGAACTCATTAGGTCTTCCATTGCGCGTGTGTGCCTGTGTACATAGTAGGTGCACACGCCAAGGGCAATAAGACCAAGGATCATGGTAACACTCAGAATACTGTCCGGCACCGTCCAAGAGCGGGTGTCAGACCAATCTTTCGGCTTGTAGTCAGTCGGGTCATCTAAGAGTGCCTCATCCAGTATGCTAAGATCAACAGTCATTGATCCCTTGTACTGGATTTGGTTTTGAATGGTCTGGGGTAACTCAAGGGAACGTTTAGCAAAAGCGTCAGGCATTTCAATATCTGTGTCTATCCTGTCGTCGGGAAGTTGGTATAGGGCTAGGTCGTCTATGTGGATAATCGCCCCTTCTGGTACCTTAACAAAAACAGTCTGGTTGGGGAGGTTCAGTTGGGTGGTTGAGTCATGGTGTTTGTAAATCATAGTGGTGGACGTGAATGGGGTGTTAACCAGCCATCGATTCCCTAGCATCTCCACCTGTGTGGTGGTGACCCCATCCCTTGCTGTTAGTTTGGCTCTACAGTGTTCTTCGCTGGCGAAAGGCTTAAGTCCACAAAGGTGCTCAGTGTTATCCCTGACGAATGGTTTGCTAGGACAAAGGTAGTGGACGTCTTTGGTTAGAGTACACATTAACAGGTTAGGGGTAAGATAGAAATCTGGATTGTGTTCCTGATAAGCTACGACTGGCGGTGTGGTGATTTTCACATGGGTGCTGTCGCGCCAAAACCCTACGTTTAGAACCGTTTTCAATCTATAGATATTCTCCAGTTCAACAACCGGTAGAGTCAGTAAAAATCTCACTTCATTACGATTAACATCAACATGTATTTGAATTGCCGACCCCAGACAATAGGCCAAATGTGACTGTAATGGCTTTATCGTGGTTGTGGTAGCTGAGGTCAATATGTTGTGCACCATTGAGAGGGGCACTAGATATTAGGGGATTCTATTTATGGCCAAGTGGTCCATAGAAGAGCTAACTTCACGGAGAAAATCCTCCAACAATAATCGAACCAATTGGACATGGGCATAGTCATGGTTCATGACCTCTACTAGCTTTCCTACCGACAGGAGGGTTTTGTTCAGGAGAGTAGCGTGTGTGTTTACCACCTGAATAGTGTCCTGGAGAGACTTTCCCATATGCTGCAACATGAGTGCCTGTGATTTCATCTGCTGCTGGATAAGTGGCATCTCTTCAGTAATCTCCCTAACATTTATTTTGACTGTGGCTAGACTGACTGCGTTGACAGCAGTGGTGCCTAGAGCAAATAGTAACCCTACGGCTGCACCTATTGAGAGTAGAGCCCCGACAAATCGTTTCTCTCGCCTGGGCTCTGCTAATTCTGAATGGGTGACTGTGAACTTTTGGAGTTGGGCCAACATATGGGCAGTGTCTAGCTGGGCGTGCTTAACTGCCTGGGTGGTCCAGTCAGCCCCGGCCCATCTCAAATGTTCCGCAGGTGGAATGTGTTGGCGGTACACATTCTCTGCATCTAGGCGGACGTACACCCTCTGCGTGTGCACTCTGCAGTTGGTTATAAGGAGTCCTGGATCATCACGGAGAACGATTCCCGTAGGGGGTCCGCTTGTGAGTACATCTGCTGGATTGGTTTTGACCAGGGAGCAGAGTGTCAGGATCGGCCAAAGGAACTCCATCCTACAAAAATGTATAATTAGAGATATTGTTTGATTATTTCAGTTATATATATATATTTTGATAAACTAAAACGTTTTGACAACAAATTTAGCTGATTTTCCTATTTCGAACAGTACAATATCAACAATGGCAACGAAACGTTTCTCTTGTAGCTGGGAAGAGAAGAAAATATGTTAGTGCAACGTACTGATTTCCTGGAAGGGATCAGCTGAGGTACAACCCAGCACTAAGGCAGTGCTCTGAGAAACCTACTTCCAAAAATAACGTCTTGTCTTTGTTGGGGTAGACCAGGCAGGGTGCCGCACAAAGCAGGTCTTTCAAGGAAGTCACAGCTTCGTCGTGAGTGGCATCCCAAACGAACGGGGTGTCTTTCTGAAGAAGACGGGTCAAAGGCTTTGACAAGTCTGCATAATTTTCGATGAACTGACGGGAGTAATTACATACTCCCAAGAAGCTGCGGACCTCATGAAGGTTTACAGGTGTTTTGATGTTGCAGACTGCTTGGATTCTGCTAGATTGTGGCAGGATGCCCTCACCACCCACCAGAAGTCCAACATAGTTGACATTGGTCCTGCACCATTGTCCTTTCATGATAGCCAGTTTAGCCCCAGCCGTTCCTAGTTGGGTAAGAACGTGGTCCATCTCGTTTAGGTGATATGACCAGTTCCCCTGGTGGGTGCATCTGGCATTGCCTTGTGCAGGAAGATGTTGAACTCTGCGGGGGAGTTCGAATACCCGAACTGGCAACGATTGAACATGAAGAGCTTGTTAGAGAAAGAGAAAGACAACTTGTGTTGGTCACGAGGTTCGACTGTCATGGTCCAAAAACCATTCGCCACATCGACAGTGGAGAAGTATTTGGCGTTTGCCACCTTTGGCAACTCTTGGTCGAGCTGTGTCATAGGCCAACGAGACAACGGAACCAGCTTGTTGAGTTGTCTATAGTCAATGGTAAGACGCCATTTACCCATTGGTTTCAAAACAGGCCACACCGGAGCGCTGTACGTACTGTTACATTCCCTGATTATCTGTTTAGCTAGTAGGGAGTCGATAATCTCCTTTACCGCTGAGTATGCTGCAAGCGGAATTTTGTATTGTCTCACAAACGTAGGAGATGCCCCGGGTGGTGTAGGAATACGCACCACATGAATATCCGTAACACCGCAATCCAGCGAGTCTGTCGACCAGATCTGTCTGTGTTTGTTAAACAATTCCCGCAACTGATTTCTTTCAGTGTCATTGACAAGTGCGTCTGACAGTAGCTGTAGTACCTGTGCATGGAAACCAGGATGCGGTTCGGCGGCATTGTACAGGTCTTTCTCAGGGGGTGATGGCATGTCAATGGTGGGGGAATCATCGGCTGTTACCTCATTAGTGTGTACCTCACATGCAGAAGGAGATGCGGTATCATTCTCCGTGATGATGGAGTATATCAACAGCTCGTTGTCCGAATCGACATCCATCCTGAATGTCGATATGTCGCCAAGTGGCAATACGGGAGTTATTGCGATTGCCTTTGACTGACAAGTAAAAAGCATCCCTCCCTCACCACATAGGTCTAGGTAGGAAGGAAGAGGCCCAATGACGGGAACAGTAATTTCAAAATCATGGAAGGAGTCATCAATCAATGTTCCCAGCTGAGTGTGCCGAGGAACAGAAATATCCGCTTGAATCAGATTCTGCACCAAGAGGTAAGTGGATCTAGCGTGTAGCTCCAACAGCGGGTTACCATTGATAGTTAGCCCCAAGTCGAATAGTTGCGGAGAGGGTTGGAAGAACGCAGTGGTGCCTTCCATCCGGTAGCCGGGCGCCAGGTTCAGTCTTATAGAAACCTCTGTGGTTCTTGCCTGTATCACCACGGTGGACTCAGTTATCACTTTACAAGCTTCAGGAATAGTCTGCCCGGATGCCATCCGCACAGGGTCGAAATAAAAGGCGTGTTGGGCTGGCTGCGCCAAAGACCAAAGAACTTGGTGTATGGTATTGAGTTTAACACCCAATCTTACCAAAATGTCCGCTCCCACGTAGGAGGTTCGCGACAACCAGTAGGTAGTGAGATACTTCCTTGGTTCCGATGTGGAGTGATAGCGCACATACTCATAAAGCGGTGAGTGTCGTCTGGGGAGTCATTTCCAGTGGGAATCTGAATGTTTTCGGAACAAGGGGGTGGCAGTGAACATGTCGTTGAACATTTCCAAACTGATTGCAGATTTTTCCAACCAGGTTTCCAGTATGGCATCCTCAATCATTGTGCCGTTTAGGCACACGCCACCTATCAGTGGAGGGCGGTATATGTCAGTTGGTGATTCACCCAAGCCACACAGGAAAACCCCATGTTCGGTTAATTTCCTAGTTGAACTTGTCACCCTATCATTTGCCACTCATGACCAAGTTCACCAGGGGTACGTCAGTTGTTGTCGCCGAACCCTCGTCGTTGCATAATGTATTGCATGTATTCTTCGACGAAGGCGGTGGGGTCAATGGAAATGGCATAGTTATTTGTGACCAGACTTGGTTGGTTTTCCAATCCATCAGTGGTACCAAACAGTCAATTAAATCTATCCCAATCAGCATATGTTCGGTGTCAATGCTAGTCATGTACACAGGGTGGATAAGTGACACGCTTTTGAAAGTCAGTTTTAGTAGGAGGCGCTTGGTTAAAGGTGATGTAGCCTGAGTGAAACCTCGAAATGTAGTGTCGCAACATTCCGTTTTTAACCAACGTTTTGCTGGGTCCACTGCTCTTTTGAGTTCATCCAGCAAAGTTTGAGATATGAGGGAAATAGTCAAATCTATCAAACAGTCCTCTAAGACTGCTTTGAGGTATGACCTGTTCGAATTGGTTTTTCTGTTCATACAGTGCCTTGCAAAAGTATTCATCCCCCTTGGCGTTTTTCCTATTTTGTTGTATTACAACCTGTAATTTAAATGGATTTTTATTTGGATATCATATAATGGACATACACAAAATAGTCAAAATTGGTGAAGTGAAATGAAAAAAATAACTTGTTTCAAAAAATAACGGAAAGGTGGTGCGTGCATATGTATTCACCCCCTTTGCTATGAAGCCCCTAAATAAGATATGGTGCAACCAATTACCTTCAGAAGTCACATAATTAGTGAAATAAAGTCCACCTGTGTGCAATCTAAGTGTCACATGATCTGTCACATGATCTCAGTATATATACACCTGTTCTGAAAGGCCCCAGAGGTTATTCGTGTCGGCCCCGTAGGTTATCCGTGTCGATTTCCAAGACATATAACCCACCTTCGTTACCCAGTGGGTCCTCTATCAGAATGGGAGAGGAATCAACCGTTGCAATGCTACTTACCTTGTGCGTCTCCACATCTGTATCAGAGTCTGTAAACAAAACCTGTGGGCTTGTTTTTTGATCGAGCAGGCCCTGGATATGGTTTGGAGTGAGTGCTGGGATAATTTGATCATTCCCATCCTCGCAAATGGTGTTAATTTCTGCGGACCTGTTGTTCGCAGAGTCCACGCCTAGTCATGGCGACTTATCTTTGTCCTGTTTGTCCTTTTTGTAGGTTGGGGGCAGGAATGTGGTGGCCATGTTGATCGTTACGATACCGGTTTGGTTGGGAACGTTCGGTATAGTTAGTTTTACCACTAAGGTTATTGGTTTGGTTGTTTTGTGGTAGGTACCATTTTTGTGTGTCATTACTCACCGCTCTTATCCTTGTTCCGCACCCTCTAACTGGAGTGAGTGCTCCTGCTCAATATTGAAAACCGAGACATTAGGGCTCTTAGAGCGGCTCACTTTTGATGCCTCAAAAGCTTTGCTTGCAAGCTCTCTAAGTTCTGAGATTGGCAAATTTATGTTGGCTGTAGGGCCCAAGTAGTTAATGAAGGTGGGATACGTTTGACAGAAACATTTCTATTTCAGTGAGTAGGCTAAAGTAAGCTGAACGGAGCCTATGATAGTATGCTTGTGGGTGTTCGCTTCGTGCTTGTTTGACAGTGTTAGCCAGCATGCTGTCGTGTTTGTGAGTCGCAGAACCACTAAATTCTATTGTTAAAGCTGTGGCAAGTTTCATGTAGTAGTTTTGCACAGTATGTTGTTGTAGGCGGATGAACCTAGTCACGTGTCTATTCAACGTTCGCTTCAACAGGTAAAGCTGGTCACTATCTGTAGTGTTTGGGTAGCCATCCAACGCATCCTCTAGGTCTGCTAGGAACGTCTCAGGGTCGTTCAGCTTCCCTGGTGTGGGGTCAAAGGTGCGGAAGGTCTTGATGATCTTATCAAGGCGTTCTGTGCCTAGTGCGCAGGGAGGTTTTGCATCATCCTGTGGGTAAGAATTGGCCGAAAGGCCAAGAGGAGAAACCAAGCCTTGGTCTGGTTGGCGAGGAGGCGCCATATTACTCTGTGCCAAACGGCCAAGAGGAAAAGACTGAGGGACACCTGAGAAATGTAAAGGCTGAAACCTTCTGTCTTCTTCACTCCTTTGTGTACCAAACTCTGGTTGCGAGCTTGGTTGTTTGGCTGTTCGGAATTCCTCCAGATGGTTTCTAAGGGTGGTATTCTGCTGCATAGCAGAGTCCACTTGAGTACTTATTTTAGACATGTGAGTGTCGCACTTGCTCCGTTCGGTCTCATACTTATCTATCATGGTTTACAGGGAGAGGTTTTGAGTCTGTAGCAAGATATTCAGTGATGAGATTTCCTCTGCTTGGTTGGAGTTCCATTTTCCCACCTTCCTCACCTGGGTTTTCTCATCATTCATTTGATCAGTGACTTCAATGAGATCCATTGTTTTTTCATCCAACTTGGACATTGTGTTCTTTAGCTGATCATCTGTGGTTTGCAGCTTTTGGACTAGAACCTTATTGCTTTGAGTGGTGTCATTCAACACTGCTTGCATGGTATCAAGTTGCTTGTCCCTGGTTTTAAGTAGGCTGTCAAATTGATCTAGTTTTGCGTGTACTTTGTCATATTTAGTCTTGGCTAAATGGAGTTGTTCCTGAAGCAGACGATTTTGTTCAAGAGTTTGTTCTCGTTCGTTGTCATACGTTTTTGCCAGATCTTTTAATTGCTCCGTTCTCAAATGCAGCTCCTCGGCTAGCAGTATCTTGTCTTTGTCGGCTTTTGTCATTAGCTTCCTGGTTCTCTCCACCTGTCCCTTCATCTGAACAGTTTCTTGCTCGTGCTTCTGCTGAGTACAGCGGTATTGAACCAATGTCCATCTCTGCTGGTGGGCATAGTTCAGGGCTAAACTGGAGAGAAGCTTTACAAGGCCTGTGCCTGCTGGCCTATTTTGGAGGGCGTCGGTCGCGATATATGCAGTTTTTTCACTAATGGCATTGTGATCTAACATTCTCAACCCTTCGGCATAGTTTGGGTTTGCATCGCTGCTGAGGTCAGCGATCAATCTTTCTATGGGTGAGGGTTCACTTATTAGCGGGGGAATGGTCTCCCGAGTGGCGCAGTGGTCTAAGGCACTGTATCGCAGTGCTAGCTGTGCAACTAGAGATCCTGGTTTGAATCCAGGCTCTGTCATAGCCGGCCGTGACTGGGAGACCCATGGGGCGGCGCACAATTGGCCCAGGGTAGGGGAGGGAATGGCTGGCAGGGATGTAGCTCAGTTGGTAGAGCATGGCGTTTGCAATGCCAGGGTTGTGGGTTCGATTCCCACGGGGGGCCAGTATGAAAAAATAAATAAATAATGTATGCACTCACTAACTGTAAGTCGCTCTGGATAAGAGCGTCTGCTAAATGATGTAAAATGGAATGGATGGCACCCCCTCTGATAGCTTTCTCATTTTGATGATTATTAGTTGTTTAAACGTATGTAACATTTTGGGTTTTGAGTCGTTGGAAGCTGCAAAAACTATTTTATTCGGTTTATAGACGTCAATGAATCATCAATACTGGATCAGTAATGTGGGAGTTGGCTTTTAACGAACTTGCAAAAGCAATTTTAATTGATTAATCAATGTTATTGATTAATCATACCTATATAGGCTATCTGGGAATTAAACTTTAATTAACCTGATAGCATTGTTGTATCTAGGTTAAAATTGAAAAGTTTAAGTTGTCTCCTTTGTTGAACCAAATCAATCAGGATCTTATCCAAATGATCAACCTGAAAAGGTATGTTTGGCAATTTAACTTATTAAATTGAATGAGACAATGATATTCAATCATTTGAGATTAGCTGGATATCCTAAGTGTAACCCGTTGTAACAGTGAGTTAAGAGTGTGCCCTCACATTAATTGTTTCAAAAACAATTACTGGTGATTCTTCACCACCAGAGGTTGCTGATCGCAGAAAGCTGAAATCAAACGGGAGTCCTGAGGGGCAGAACTTCCGTTGGAACAAAGGGAAAAAACAAAAATGGCTGCTCTCCCTTCGTTAGCTTAGCATCTAGTGCAAAGCTACCCTACTTGTACAGGGAATTTAATTTCCACGCACACACAGGGTCCCCTTTAACAAGGGAAGGGGTTTATTAATGATGTCTCACGTTAACCCTTTCTGCGATTATTTTGCTAGCAATGTACAGTGTGGAGTGTTTAGAAACCTATTATATTATTATTTACAATAAAAGTGACTCCAAAATGACACAATACATTATTTAGCATTTCTATAGTGCACAAAATAATCTGAAACCCAACCCAAATGAACTGCAAATGTATCCAACAACTTTGTAGAGTCACAAGTTGATGTAGTCATTGCGAGCTAGGAATATGGGACCAAATACTAAACCTTTGACTACTTTATTTACAATAATCTTTATGGGTGTCAATAATTTTGACCCCTACCTTTTAGAGAGAAAAAAAGTATTACTTGTTAAACAAAATCTCTAAAATAATATATTTTCCAAAAAAAAAATCAGCATACACTATAGCTCAGTATTTTTATTATTTATTTTATACAGGCATTATTGCTCATCTTTATCAAGGGTGTCAATAATTTTGGACCCCACTGTATGTGCGAGGGCTGAGGGCCCTACTTCTCTGGATTTTATTGTGAAATGTTTTGTACATGTTAAGTAGATGATAGAGGATTTACAGTGGCTTGCGAAAGTATTGTGGTGAATTATTATTAATGAACTGTAGAGTTTAATGGACTATGAGGTAGAACTGGGTTAATCAAGAGCATAAAGTTAGAATTCTTTGTTACTGGGCCAGGAATTGTATTGGGTCATTTAATTTCACTGTGTGGGTGAGTAGAGAGGGAATCTGCCCTAGGGTAAGATTGCTTGCTCTTACTTAGATCCATGGTTGTCTTATCATATCAAAGACTGAAACTGGCTTGGGCCATTTGTTTTTGACTTCAAACACAGTGAAAAGAGCCAGGGTTGAACAGAGTTTAAACTAAACATGAGTGTTTTTGCAAGATAAGGATTGATTGATTGTAGTACTCTGAACTTAATGAAAGTTTAGTTTAGCCGCTCTCAGAGACAAAGGAAGTGGGCGGAGCAATAAAAGAGCGGGAAAACTGAAGAGGACTATATAAGTTGGAGGTAGACCGTAAGGGGGTGTGCCACTCTGCAGACTGGTATCGGCTTTGTTGAAAACTTGAATAAAGTCATTTCTTGATGCAACAAAAACTCTGTAAGACCTTATTTGTAATAAAGTATAGTGGTTATTTTCCACTACAGTATTCACCCACATTTGCATTTTTGGTGGTTTGTATTATTTGATTTACACAACATGTCTACCACTTTGAAGAGGCAAAATATATTTAATTGTGAAACAAACAAGAAATAAGACAAGAAAACAGAAAACTTGAGCGTGCATAACTATTCACTACCCCCCCCCCTGGGCTTTGACTATTCCAAGACATTTAAATGTTTCCCCTTAAACCACTCGGTGTTGCTTTAGCAGTATACTTAGGGTCATTGTCATGCTGGAAGGTGAACCTCCATCCCAGTCTCAAATCTCTGGAAGACTGAAACAGGTTTCCCTCAAGAATTTCCCTGTATTTAGCGCCATCCATCATTCCTTCAATTCTGACCAGTTTCCCAGTCCCTGCCGATGAAAAACATCCCCACAGCATGATGCTGCCACTACCATGTGTTCTCAGGGTGATGAGAGGTGTTGGGTTTGCGCCAGACATATCATTTTCCTTGATGGCCAAAAAGCTCAATTTTACTCTCATCTGACCAGAGTACCTTCTTCCATATGTTTGGGGAGTCTCCCACATGCCTTTTGGCAAACACCAAACGTGTTTGCTTATTTTTGTCTTTAAGCAATGGCTTTTTTCTGGCCACTCTTCCGTAAAGCCCAGCTCTGTGGCGTGTACGGCTTAAAGTGGTCCTATGGCCAGATACTCCAATCTCCGCTGTGGAGCTTTGCAGCTCCTTCAGGGTTATCTTTGGTCTCTTTGTTGCCTCTCTGATTAATGCCCTCCTTGCCTGGTCCGTGAGTTTTGGTGGGCGGACCTCTCTTGGCAGGTTTGTTGTGGTGCCATATTCTTTCAATTTTTCTTATAATGGATTTAATGGTGCTCCACGTAATGTTCAAAGTTTCAGATATATTTTTATAACACAACCCTTATCTGTACTTCTCCACAACTTTGTCCCAGACCTGTTTGGAGAGCTCCTCGGTCTTCATGGTGCCGCTTGCTTGGTGGTTCCCCTTGCTTAGTGGTGTTGCAGACTCTGGGGCCTTTTAGAACAGGTGTATATATTTACTGAGAATATGTGACAAATCATGTGAAAGAGCTGCAAAATCTGGACCCCTACAAATCAGCTGGGCTAGACAATCTGGACCCTTTCTTTCTAAAATTAGCTGCCGTAGCAACCCCTACTACTAGCCTGATCAACCTCTCTTTCGTATCATCTGAGATCCCCAGAGATTGGAAAGCTTCCACAGTCAGCCCCCTTTTCAAAGGGGGTGACACTCTAGATCCAAACTATTACAGACCTATATCCATCCTGCCCTGCCTTTCGAAAGTATTTGAAAGCCAAGTTAACAAACAGATCACCGACCATTTCGAATCCCACCGTACCTTCTCCCCTATACAATCTGGTTTCCGAGCTGGTCATAGGTGCACCTCAGCCACACTCAAGGTCCTAAACGATATTATAACCGCGATCTATAAAAGACAGTACTGTGCAGCCGTCTTCATCAACCTGGCCAAGGCTTTCGACTCTGTCAATCGCCGCATTCTTATTGGCAGACTAAATAGCCTTGGTTTCTCAAATGACTGCCTCGCCTGGTTCACCAACTACTTCTCAGATAGAGTTCAATGTGTCAAATCGGAGGGCCTGTTGTCTGGACCTCTGGCAGTCTCTATGGGGGTGCCACAGGGTTCAATTCTCGGGCCGACTTTATTCTCTTTGTATATCAATAATGTCGCTCTTGCTGCTGGTGACTCTCAGATCCACCTCTACGCAGACGACACCATTTTGTATACATCTGGCCCTTCATTGGACACTGTGTTAACAAACCTCCAAACGAGCTTCAATGCCATACAACACTCCTTCCGTAGCCTCCAACTGCTCTTAAACGCTAGTAAAACTGAATGCATGCTCTTCAATCGAACGCTGCTTGCACCCGCCCGCCCGACTAAAATCACTACTCTCGGCGGGTCTGACTCAGAATTTGTGGACAACTACAAATACCTAGGTGTCTGGTTAGACCGTAAACTCTCCTTCCAGACTCACATTAAGCATCTCCAATCCAAAGTTTAATCTAGAATCGGCTTCCTATTTCGCAACAAAGCCTCCTTCACTCATGCTGCCAAACATGCCCTCGTAAAACTGACTATCCTACCGATCCTTGACTTCGGCAATGTAATTTACAAAATAGCCTCCAACACTCTACTCAGCAAATTGGATGTAGTCTATCACAGTGCCATCAGTTTTGTCACCAAAGCCCCATATACTACCCAGTATTGTGACCTGTACGCTCTCGTTGGCTGGCCCTCACTACATATTCGTCGCCAAACCCACTGGCTCCAGGTCATCTATAAATCACTGCTAGGCAAATCCCTGCCTTATCTTAGCTCATTGGTCACCATAGCAACACCCACCCGTAGTATGCGCTCCAGCAGGTATATCTCACTGGTCATCCCCAAAGCCAACACCTCCTTTGGCCGCCACTCCTTCCAGTTCTCTGCTGCTATTGACTGGAATGAACTGCAAAAATCTCTGAAGCTGGAGACTCTTATCTCCCTCACTAACTTTAAGCATCAGTTGTCAGAGCAGCTTACCGATCATTGCACCTGTACACAGCCCATCTGTAATTAGCCCACCCAACTACCTCATCCCCATATTGTTATTTATTTTGCTCATTTGCACCCCAGTATATCTATTTGCACATCATCTTCTGCACATCTATCACTCCAGTGTTAATACTAAATTGTAATTATTTTGCACTATGGCCTATTTATTGCCTTACCTCCATAACTTACTACATTTGCACACTGTATATAGATGTTCTATTGTGTTATTGACTCTATGTTTTTGTTTAGCCCATGTGTAACTCTGTGTTGTTGTTGTTTTTATCGCATTGCTTTGCTTTATCTTGTCCAGGTCGCAGTTGTAAATGAGAACTTGTTCTCAACTGGCCTACCTGGTTAAATAAAGGTGAAATAAAAATAAAAATAAACTTAGATTGCACACAAGTCTTATTTAACTAATTATGTGACTTCTGAAGGTAATTGGTTGCACCAGATCTTATTTAGGGGCTTCATAGCAAAGGGGGTGAATATATATGCACGCACCACTTTTCCATTATTTATTTTTTTATTTTCACTTCACCAATTTTGACTATTTTGTGTATGTCCATTACATGAAATCCAAATAAAAATCCATTGAAATTACAAGTTGTAATGCAACAAAATAGGAAAAACACCAAGGGGGATGAATACTTTTGCAAGGCACTGTATATAGAATGGAACACGTTCTATATTCCAGTATTATCCACACAATCATAGTAGTTTAATAAGTTACAATACAAGCTTGAAGTATAAAAAACACTGTAAGGAATTACATTTTCCTTCTGTCAAATCATTCATTTAAAACAAAGCTTGACCTCTCTGTTTTTTCAATCTCAACTTCTCACCTAAATCTTAAAAGAAATGTTATATTCAAATACTAAGTTTGGAAAGCATGCCTACAACCAATTTTAAAGTTGTGTTAAAATGAATAGACCGTGATTCAGAAGTAGAACCTCTAATAATATTTCAAATTATGGAAATTGGTTTACATCTGTTAGGCATCTGTTGATTGTAACATCCCCCTTTTATCATCACTGACAAGTCAATTACCATTCAGAGTTGAGTTGCAGATGTCTATGCAACAGTGAGCCAGGATTCTTTAAGGACCAGGTGTTGGATACTGACTACAACAAGCAATTACATGCATTTTACATGAAGGACTATGCATATTCATCAAGAGTGTGAAACTGTGGGATATTTTGAGCTACACTAGCACTGACATAAATGCAAAGTAACAAACAATCACCATATGAGGGTGAAAGTTGACAGGGTTCTCATCACTCATAAATAAACAAAGACTATAGGCTCCTTTTCAGTACACAACACGCTGACGTCACGCGCTGACTTTTGGAAGCAGAAAGAAAGCCATCCCCATCTGCGCCCATTCAACATAGACCACATTTACATACTGTAGTTATTACTTCTAAACAAAACAACTTTTTTGGGTTCTCATACGCTTACAATGTTATTTTGATTATTGCTTGAGCAGTTGCTAAGATTATATTTGGTTGTGATCTTTGCAAAATACCTATTTTGGATTGCTAACGCTCATTGATATAGTCTGTAGCAAAGTTAGCAAAGGGCATTTTTACTGGTTGAAGTTGAAGTGGGCCTCCTGTAGCTCAGTTGGTAGAGCATGGCGCTTGCAACGCCAGGGTTGTGTGTTCGATTCGCACGGGGGGCAAGTATGGAAAATGTATGCACTCACTAACTGTAAGTCGCTCTGGATAAGAGCGTCTGCTATATGACTAAAATGTAAGTGTTTTTTTTTAACGTATAATGCCAGTTGATGGGTAACGATGACACACACATTATATTAAGCAGGACATTCATACAAGCTTTACAATCCAATCATAATCTAAAATAGTGTGAAATGCACTCATAAGCAACATGTAAATGGAGGCTTTTTAGCTAGCAGTCTATGAGAACTCCCTGTGTCCCTCGTGTGGCAATGTTTGCAAACACAGAAAGGGGTCTATATGTTAGTACACTGAACAGATGGAAGTGTGGTATAGGCCCTCAGTATAGCTGTGTTTATTTCATTCACTATGTATCCCAGGCACTACTGATGATAACTGTCATGTTGCTAAGTCACAACAACACATTTATTTTTGCATAATCACATCCATTGATTTGTTAGGAAACTGGGCAGGGATTCAATCAAAGGTGCACTGTTGCCAAGCGCCTTGCTCTTGACTTTAAAAGGGAATTTACACTTGAGCCGACAGTCACAGCATTTACCATGACTTCTCTGTGTACATTACAAAAATTGCCTTCAAAAGGCATACAGTGCAATGGGTTTGTTGATTGAATCCTGGCCCTGGTGTTAGGTACTCAGAAAACACTAGACTTTCTTTCATCAGTGAGAATACACTAACGTCGTCCATGGTATTCCTTCCCTGTAGGTGGAGTTTGAGGATGTAATCGCAGAGCCTGACGGCACACACAGTCTGGATGGGGTGTGGAAGCTCAGCTACACCACCTTCACCGTGTCCAAGTACTGGTGCTACCGCATCCTGTCAGCTATCTTCGGCATCCCCGTGGCTCTTCTCTGGGGCTTCCTCTTTGCCTGCATCTCGTTCTGTCACATCTGGGCCGTGGTGCCCTGCATCAAGAGCTGCCTGATCGAGTCCCAGTGCATCAGTCGCATCTACTCCCTCTGCATCCAGACCTTCTGTGACCCCTTCTTTGAAGCCCTGGGCAAGATCTTCAGCAGTGTGAAAGTGGCCCTGCGCAAAGAGGTCTAGACAGTCACACCAGAGGTGGCTGGTGAGGGGAGGATGGCTCATAATAATGAATGGAATGGAGTGAATTGAATGTTATCAAACCATGTGTTTAATGTGTTTGAGACCATTCCAATCATTCCGTTCCAGCCATTACTGTAAGCGTGTCCTCCCCATTTAAAGTGCCACCAGCCACCACTGACTCACACCCACCACAGTGTTTACATGTGTTTGGATGAAATGTTGCACCCTTTTTGTCTGCCAGATCAGATGACCAGTCCTGGTGTCCTCATCTTTCCCAAGACACCCCCCGTTACCCTCACCCCGCCCGAAGCTCTGGGCATCACCCTGCCCGTCTTGCCTTTTGAGTCCTGACATGCTCAGAGCGACCAGTGCCACTAGAGGCTCTGTGACAGCTGCAGCATGGTTGGGTGACAGCTCTGGCTCCGTTGGAAGGCAGAGAGCTGCCTGTTCATTGAGGGAATAGAGGGCTGGCAGCCATGGCCTGAGCAGGACTCCCAGAGTGAATGTATTTTGAGATGCTGAGGACAGTGGCTCCTCAGTCACGTGACATAAACACCCCAGTGACACTAACGGCATTGCAGCACCTGTAGGACAATACTGCATATACAGGGCTCTCCAACCCTGTTCCTGGAGAGCTCCCTTCCTGTAGGTTTTTGCTCCAACCCTAATCTAGCACACCTGATTCTAATAATTAGCTGGTTGATAAGCTGAATCAGGTTAGTTACAACTAGGGTTGGAGCGAAAACCTACAGGAGGGCAGTTCACAGGAACAGGGTTGGATAGCCCTGTACGATCTCTACTTTATTGGCCAATTCTGAATTGATATACAGTATATTAAACAGTCAGATGTGTGTGTGTGTACATGTGTGCATTTTGTGCCTGATGATGAACTAGTTGATGTTGTGCAATGGAAAAGAGAAGTGTAATGCTTGAACAAGTTTATATCACCTTTTACAGAATCAATATGATGCATTTTCTCTACTGAATAATTTTGATTAAACACATTCTAAATTGTCAATTATGCTTCACATTTCTTTCACATAAGCTACCAATAACTTGACTGTGTGGCTGTAGAAACTGTAAGAATGTTAGGAAGAAAGGAGACCCAGGTTTTAAAATGACAAGTGGAATTTTCTATTTGCAGGTCCTACAATTCAGCAAAGTACGTGGTATCAGAGTGTATGCCAACCATCTCACTAAAGACATAAGACATTGGTATTATTGCATTTGTTTATGTATTGATTGAGAAAGAGAAGTAAAAATATTTGTTGTTGATTTATGATGAGTGGGGCCTAACCTAATCGGTGGGGAATTTTCTCTATCAGCATTTGCACATAATTATTTGATGGATTAGACTGTAGCTATAAATATTCCAGAGCAGTATTTGGGTTTCTTTGATATGATATCACAGATTATTATTATTTCAAAACATTCACAAGAGCCTTGAGACCTTCTGTACCCACAGTACAATACTACAGTATCCTCTTGGCCTCTACAGATGTAGGATCTTAATTTGAACCAGTTTGCTACAGAGGGAAACGAATCCTGCAGCAACAGGAAATCTGAATTATTATGTGGATTATAATTAATATACATTTTTCGTAAGGGAAATTCAAGTATGACATTTCAAAGTGGAAATTACAAACTTCAGAAGCTTTTTTAAGCCTCAAATACACTACATGTTTTAAATGTTCTCCTGCAACAGGGTGATCAAATTAAGATTTGAAGTTACCCATTCCTCTGGTGTTGCTTCTTTTTGTCATCAGGGGGACCCAAGAACAGTCATTCTCATTGGAAGGTAGGTATAGAAAAGCCAATTGAGAACTAGTGGTCTGGATCCAGACACGTCAGGCCATGTCTAGAAAAGTAGCATTACACCATCCCTATATATTTTTCCTATCTTCCTATGAAATGCATGTATGTGCACATTAATCAATCTCTAACAAAATTTAAGATACAGAAGTTCAACATAATTTAAAAGCCGGCTCATTCTTACAATGCGGTGCCTTTTCTGTCCCCAGGAAATATCACTTCTTATTTAGTGTAAAATGTGAATTCCAAAAGGCTTTAAATATAAGGTTGGGTGTCCTTCACCTTAAAAACACAAACATATAGATCTTGAAAGATAATTTTATGCATTTTGAACACTTTTTCCAGTGGATATAGGCGTTTTTGCCATGTCCCTGGGTGTTATTCAAAATGTTTCAAAATGTTCAAATATATGTTTGATAGAGAAGTTAAAATCCTGTTCAAGTGTTGACCATTATGCTAGCTCAATCTCGCTCACGCACAGAGATATGACTAATTTGGCATCCAAATTTCCACCCTGTTAGGATTATGGACCTAACATGTTGGAAAATGCCTGAGCTTGACCAACATGTTTTTCTGAAACGCAAACATGTCCTTTTCCTCATAGAATTAAAATAAAATAAAATAATTCCTAAAGTTATGAGGTCCAAAAGCCACCACGTTGTAGGAATGACCCAGCTGCTCAACTCCATTTGATGCAAAAAAATCGATTCGGACTCACTTGATAGAACACATACAATTTATTTCCAATAAATAAGAGATACATATGTACTTTCCCAAAATACAACACTCTAAATGCAAATAAGGAAATTATGTTTTCTATTAAATGTTCAGTAGCTTGAAGGACAACTTGAAAACAAAGACATTTACAGTAAAAGGAGAAGCCAACTTTGTAAAAAATAAAATAAAATAATACTGCCATTTGTGATGTGTACAAGGAACAGAGTTTCAAGTAGATTCGATATTAAGGCAGGTCACCCTCTTTATGCAATGGTTTCTAAAATACATTGAATAATCCAGATAGATCAAAGCAGGATTCATGAAATTGCTCTCCCAATTCAGAGTGTTCTGAGTATGTGTAATCCATATTTCTCAATCATATTTTGCAGTGAAGAAGACGCCAGCCTAACACTAAAAAAATACAGACAGAGTAATTATGTAGGAAGTACACCACAATCTTCATAGAAATATATTTGGATGTTTGTGTTCATCCTAGAAGAAAATGGTGGCTAGTTTATTGAGTTGCCTTCTGTAAAAATAAGTAAGTAAACCTTTACAGCATGACAGATATCACAGTTTTCATTTCACAAACTGTGCAAACTGTGTAATAGTTGAAACGTACAGTGTGTGTGACCTGACACATGGTGTGATACAACAGACATGAGCAACATAGCACAGGAAATATCCTATTTGTCGATATGTGCAAAGCAATGTAAGAGGAGAGTAGCTTTACCTTCAGGCTGACAAAATAAATCAGAATGTCCCTCTGTTTTGGTCAGTATTCACAACCCAAACCACCATTACAGATCTGATTGACACAGAGTCTGTGGCATGGGAGGCCTATGTTAATGGCCTTTAAGTCCATGTTGAGGAGAACACAGCTCCCTCCTCTCCTCTCCTTGGTTGGGTGTGACAGACAGTCAGTCCTTCATTTTCCATTCACCATCTGCTGTGCTCCTCCACGGACCAAATATGTAAATCCATCAGTCTGAAAACAAAATCAATGGATAACTCTGAACTGCGACAGGACATTTGCCTGTGAGAGGAGACATTCAACATGTCCCAAATAAATCTCCATCTGTACAACAATTAATCGTTCATTTTACTCTTGACAAACCATGTCCAACACGAAATAAAAAGCAGTGCAATAGTTTTAGGTGAGCCTCCCCCGGAGCGGGACAACAGTAGGGAAGGAGAAGTGTGGGTTTGGGGCGGTGGTGGAGGGTGTGTGTGAGGGGTTCACAGTTTTGACCTGGGAGGTCTTGGGGGGAGGGAGGGCGTCTCATGTGGTGGAGGTCTGTGTGATGCTCCTCTGGCTGCTGGTGCTCTTGATGACGTAGGTTGAGGAGTTGCTCTTGCGGCTGGAGTCGTGGTCACGCTCGCACTGGCACTGGGAGGACTTGAGGTAGCGGGCCGAGCAGCACACAAAGTTCTGCCTCAGGTCTGAGAACAGGTGGCCCGCAAAGCACATGTAGATCCACGGGTTACAGCAGCTGTTCAGACTGGCCAGCAGCATGGAGATGATGAAGGGCAAGGCTGGGGAAACAAGACACACACTTTGATTTTTACTGATTGCAAATTAACAATTGGTGCAAGAAGTGGGTTCTAGTGTTTTGCGGTAGACATTCATTTGTTTGAAGATATAAAATACATTTTTAAAGATGATATCTGATTGGATCGAACGATTTCCATTGATCTCATTCACACGTCGTAATAGTCTACATTTCAGAGAGAGCTTAACATCCGTGTAGCTCAGTTGGTAGAGTATGGCAGTTGCAACACCAGGGTTGTGGGTTCAATTCCCATGGGGGCCAGTATGAAAAAAAAAATACACTCACTCTGGATAAGAGTGTCTGCTAAATGACTAAAATTTAAATAAACATGGTTGTTGTGAAATGCCATCTTTCCTAATTACGAAAGTATCCTCTGGTTCTTCTGAGGAAACCATTCATTATCTTCCCCCCCCCCTCCCTCCTCCCTCTCTCTTTGGATTGTTCTTAAGAATAGACAATATTTTTTGGCTTGGTCATTGAAGGGATACTTCGGGATTTTGGCAATGAGGCCCTTTATCTACATAAAAATGGTATCCACGTGATCATCTGACTCTGGGGAAGTAGATAAATGGCCTCATTGCCAAAATCCCGAAGTATGCATTTAAGAAATGCAGTGGCCATGACTGAAGCCAAACAAGAGTTGTCTTGGGTGGGTGGTTTAATGTGGGTGTCTCTTGTGTGTGTGTTCGCACATGGCAAGCGTTTGTACATTCACTCTGCCAAAACAGTACACAGTTACAGTCACTCACCCTTCTAGATAACTTGAAACAGTCTAACCAGAGGGGTATACTAGAACGCAGCATCAATGAGTTAGCCAGCTAACTTCGATAAACAATCAGAAATAACTGTTGATTTTCTGATTCAATAAGAAAGCTAAAGTTACATATGTGTTTTTGGGTTGTTGTGTCAATTAGACCATGCCCATTTAAAGCTTATCTTTCTAAAAATAAAAAGTTATTTCTGAATAATTAGGTTAGCTGGCTAACTCTTTGATCCTGCTTTGTACAGTCGTGGTCAAAAGTTTGAGAATGACACAAGTATTGGTCTTCACAAAGTTCGCTGCTTCAGTGTTTTTAGATATTTTTGTCAGATGTTACTATGGTATACTGAAGTATAATTACAAGCATTCCATAAGTGTCAAAGGCTTTTATTGACAATTACATTAAGTAATGTAAAGAGTCAATATTTGCAGTGTTGACTCTTCTTTTTCAAGACCTCTGCAATCCGCACTGGCATGCTGTCAATTAACTTCTGGGCCACCTCCTGACT